TAGAATAAAACATCACATAATTACTAAAAATTATAGGTTATTAGAGATTTCAATCCTGTGTACAATGATCCAAAACCACCACCTAGTTTATTTTCTGGCTTTGCAGTTGAGAAGGGTGGGCCAATACCAGAGGGGAAGCAGTATGGGAAAAGATAAGTCTGAATTTTTTTTTATCATTGTGTATTGCTGCCTTTGATAGGCTAGACTCTCCCTGTTGAAACGTGTAAGTGCTCTTTCAGGGCACTGGAGGCCAGGTAGTAAGTTACAGGCATTTTTTCCCCTTTAAACACATGTCCAGTAGCTAAGAAAATAAATGCAAGTGGCCCTGGGAACTTTGATTGAGACAACAATCAAAAAGGAAGAGTTGTTTTTCCTTTATGCCAAGATTAAGTCCAATAAAATATACCTATAGCAGAACAGGTACTTGTTACCCACATCTCCTCTAAAAGAAGAATGAAAAATAAATTTATACCTGATTTAGTAAATGATAGTTGTGAGAATTTCCATGTCCAAATATTGAGAATGAGTTTTCCACTTAGCCTTATTTGCTGTTGAATTTACTGTGATATTTCTGATATCTTGTGAAGTCATATGTACAAAACAATCAAAAAATTAGAAGTTTGAATCGGAATAATTAATGGGTGAGTTACATAGGAGAATATCATAAAGACAGAGTTATTAAGAGTTAATGGAGAACTGCCTGATCAGAAATTTGTACATAAATTTGGTTCCATGAGAGACACAGAATGAATCCCAATCCAGCCAACACAGTATCTCTTACATGAAACCTCAGAAGTGGGTTTGGGACACCAGCCAAAGTAAACAAACACGTCTTCCTTATTTGGCCATAAAGCAGTTATCAACCTCGGCTGGACATTAGAACTACCTTGGAGGTTCCAAAAATACTGATGTCTGGTTCCCACTCTGAGGGATTTTGACATAATTGGGAATTTTAAAATCCTTAGGTGATTCTTATGTACAGCCAAGGTTGAGAATCCCTCCTCTGGATAAATATATAAATAAAGCACCCATCTGTGCCTCTGGGTCTGGTTCCTCCTCAGAGCCTCTTCCACTTCCCTCTGGGTCCCCTGTACCTCCCCACCCTAACCCTCCTGCATCATATTGGCACTGCCTCCTCCTTTCCCAGGTCAGACCTTAGCTATTCTGCATTTCATCCTTTTAGGACGATGTTGTCTGCAAAGACACACACTAAACTTGTAATGTTGACACCGTCCTCCCCGGAACGGTGCGTATTAGACATAATGCTCAACTCAAGTACATAACAACTATTTCTGGCACCTCGGGTAGTGTGCATGTGAAATAGTACCCAGCCAAAAATGGAGTTGGGCAACAGAGGACAGAGGTGAAGAAGCTGTGAAGGTTACCACGTTTCTCCTGACACAATGAGCAAGACCTGATGTAAATGTCCTGACTCCTCCAGGCATTGCTCTCTCTGAACCAATGTGGTCAGGTTACAGGGTTCTTTTTTTCCTATAAGGGCAGGATATAATCACACAGATATACTCCAGGGTTGTCTCAATGACCCTAAGCCAAGGAGGGGATTTTTAGCTTACTTTTTAAGACCAGGTTCATTTTTTCCCTTCTGTCCAAATATTTTATAGCCAAGTATCTCAAAGAACCTATCTTAACCTTCAATCAAACTTAGGCCTAATCTTATTGTTGTTTTTTCTCTCTCAAAGTCATAGTGATCCCTTAATGTAGATAATGGATAGTACCTTTAAAACTGGATACATGGGTCACATAAAAAGGGACGCCAACATTAAACTTTTTCCTTTAATATCCCTGAAAAGCTTTGAGTCTACCTTTGAGGATAGACTCGGATTTCGATTTATTAACTTGAGAATCACTTTCAAAAGATTTGAAAGATTCCTTATGACTGAAGTACTGGAAAGCATCTCACTCAGTCCTGTCAGAGTCCTTCCACCGATGCAGTCAGACAGTGCTACCCTTATGGTGACTGGGGCTCAATGAGGCGTATAAAGCAAAGTTAGTAGTACTGCTTTTGTAGAGGGTTAAAATAAATGATAAACCAATCACCTCTCCCTTCAAACACCAAGATTAATGGATGATTTCATGGTAGGGATTATCGCTCAAGTTATTAGAACCAGGGAAGCAAATACTTCCAACTTCTCATTGATGAATAAGAACGTACAGGCCCCTTTTCTGCCGGAACATTAAAAAGGGCTTATTTTTTTAAAGAAGTCATAGGGGATAAGATCAACTTGTTGAGACTGTGGTTTGAAAGTCTTATCTTTTGATGCCACCTTAGCAGATATAATGTAACTTTGATAACTAAGGCTCAGAGTCACTTTCTCTGTCATTGTCCAAGTTACTGGAAGTATTTTTCATATGTTCCAAGACAGGAAAGATGGCAAAGATGAGAAGATGCAAAGGATCACCGGGTCATGTGAAAATTTTCCAAGACTGACGATGATGATAAGATGGTTGTGGTGACGCTGGTGTGTGTCTGTGTGTCTGTGTGTCTGTGTATGCTCAGGTCAGTGCAACAGAACAGAGATGTTCAAAGAGGAAAATCACATCCGCTTTATATTCTTGTTATTGCTATCTCTTTGAATTATAAAAATAATTTTGATACAGTAAAACCTCATTAATTTGAATTCCACTAATCAGGAGTTTGTGGGATGCAGTTACCCTTACATTAATAAAGGGCTTATAAAACAATCTTGAAAGACACATTTAAACTACTTCAAAGAACCTATTCTTTTCATGCATTTCAGAAGCACCTGTTTACTTCCAGTTGATATGCTAATTATAAGCTCGATCTATTCATTGAAGTGAGAGTTTTAAGCACTTTTGTGAAATGCTATAATGTCCTTTTTGATATTTTCTCTATGTGCTTTAAAATATTCTGTGATTGTTATTTTTCACTGATTCATATAAGCTTTTGCCAAATTGTATATTATTGCATATGAACCAAACATGTAATTTTGGTTATAATAATTTATCTTGCTAAGACACTGTACACTTGATGTATAGTTTTATACAAGACATATATTATATGTTCCACTTATCCTATCCCTTTAAATGATGTAGAATAGTGCCACTCAACTGGGAGTAATTTTGGCGATGGCTGGAGACATTTTTGATTGTCATTAGTACGGATGCCTACTGGCATCCAGTGAACAGAGGGCAGGGATATTGCTAACACCCTACAGTATGCAGGACAGTCATCCACAACAAAGAATTTTCTGCTAATAGTGCTGCTGTTGAAAAACCGTGACATAGAACAAGTTAAATCAAATCTTCTTATTAAGGGCTTCAGAGATATTCATCGAATTTAATGCTGCTTTGGACCAAATTTTATTATTCTGAAAATTAATATATTACAGAGTTCTTTTAGCTTTTTAAAATATATATATAAAAATGATAAAGTATTTGTTCAGAATATCAGGAAATTGGGTCCTTGAAACTGATGGTCCAAATAGTGCATTGCAATTTGGCTGTCAATATTTTCCAGATCTTGGTCTCAAGTTTCTGTAATATTTTTACTATATAATTTTACGTGTCATGTCTGTATTTTCAAGCTAGGTTCTGTCAGTTCTAAGGCTGTTCACAGGAGTCTGGGACATTCATGGAGAATCTTATTTTTATTTAAATATAAAAAAGAAATCAGGAGAATTCAAGGATTCTGAGAAATGCTACCCTAGTATTTATTTTCTGATTCTTTCAATCATATTTGCTCCTCTCAAAATTACTGAGAACATTGTAAAGGAAGTGCCAATTCAAACAAAAAAACCTAAAAAAACAAAAATACTAATTTTAGCTATTAATATAACATGGACTCCAGGACAATGGTGACTTCTTAAGAAACACAAATGGAAATCCAGTAAGATCTTGCTTAATCAAAATTCAATAAGCCAAGCCCATATTATTTTAAAGCAGATTATTTTTGAAGGAACAACATATTACAGTATGTGTCATGGAATATGCATATATATGTTCCTATGACTTCTGACTTCCAGAACCATGTTAAATGATGATAGCAACTGTCTTTATTTTGTTTTGCCTTTAGTGCTTCTCTGTTGAGTTATGATAGATCCCTTTTATCATGTTAAGGATATTATTTATTTCATTATTAAAAGTTTTTTAATAAGGAATAGGTATTTGGCATCTATTGACATAATCCTGTGGCTTATATTATTTGATGTAATTAGTGACAAAATTATTGATTTTGTATCATTCAACATGTATTATTTCTTTTGTCCATTATGATAGCTGAGGCCAAAATAACAAAAATGCTACTACATTTTATAAAGATTTCCAGAAATAAGTATTGAACCAAAAAGTATTTTCTAATGAAAGCCCTTGTTAATCAGAGATGTAATAAATCAGAATCTCTTTCCTAAAACATTAACTGAGGTTTTACTGAATCTTACTAAAGAGAATGACCAGTTTGGTCTATGAAAGTCAGGCTGCAAGAGCACCTTTGGATTGTAGACCCCACTGGGTTTGAACAGTAATATACTGTGTAATTGGCAGACAAGGATACAAATGGAGCTTTAAAAATATATTACTTTAGAAACCGAAATTGGAGTGTATGTCATATCACTTTTTATGAAGTCAGTTCTCAAAGCTAACTGCATTGTTCCTGTAGTATAGTTTCCCCAAACCTATGGTCAACTCCCCTGCAGAGTACAAACCAGGCTGAAAAAAGTACTTCAAGGTGATCCAATCCTGCATGGTTTGTGACTAAAAATAGCAACCCTTTCCAAAGGAAATAGAAATGAAGATAATTGTGTTGGGAATAACTTACTATACTGGCAATACTTGATTATGACTGAGAACTGTAAATGATGTATAATATCATGGAGAGAGAAGAATGTTAATCAGACTCTTGCCATAAGCATTCAATAATATCCTAGTATAATAAAAGTTACAGATGAGAAGAAAACTATGGGTTTTTGTTCAGTTTTGTTTTCCTTTTTTAGTTGGGTACACTGATATCTTCTAATGCAGGCTTTTTAAATTGTTGGGTGTGGCCCAATTTATAAAAATAAAATACCATAAAACTTTTTTTCTTCTGTCATGACATGCTTTTTTTCCTTTCCCTCTTAAGATGTTAATTTATCATGCAAAGATTTTTTTTTCATAAAGTGCATTAATGCCTTTGTTTGTACAGGAATTTTCAAATCAAAAGGACTCCCCGTAGTTCCTAAATGTAAATCCTTAGCAAATGACATGCCAAGATGACAGCTCCATTCCACATGGGAAAAGGCAAAATCAGCCATATCTTGGGATTTTAACCAGGGTTCCAGCCTTTGGGTTGTACAGCATCTCTGGTAAGTCTCCTTTATGATAACTTCAGATGGACTATAATGAAACATTTTGTAGAAGAAACTGGCTTCTAGCAGTTGAATAGTGATGCTGGGAATAAATTTGGTTTCCCTGAATAATGGTTTCTCAAAGCAGTCACAGCTTCCTTAACAGTTTAGAATTGGTACCATTTCTTATCCTTGTATTTCAGCATTAACTGCAAAGAAAAAAATAGTCACCATTAGATAATGAAAAAAAATCTTTAAAAGTGCTATTCGAGTTAAGCCCATATTGAACTAATCATGCATATTTAACTGAATCTCAAAACATAATAAAACTGGGCTGGCCCGTGGCTCACTCGGGAGAGTGCGGTGCTGATAACACCAAGGCCCCGGGTTTGGATCCCATATAGGGATGGCCGGTTCGCTCACTGGCCGAGCGTGGTGCTGACAACACCAAGTCAAGGGTTAAGATCCCCTTACCCGTCATCTTTAAAAAAAAAAAATTAATAATAATAAAACTGTATGGCTTTTATTTTGTGAAATGAAGTACATGTGAGAAAGATTTAAAAAAATAAACAACCAATCAAGCTGTAAAGACCCAGCTGACAGGAAAAGATTTCTAATGACAGACAAAACGGAGGGTGTGGATTTCAACTTTTACTGCCCCTTACAGCTTTCTGGGGGAGCTCACATAATCTACCTAAACACCTTTTTAGTAGCTGATACATGATACAAACCCAATATATCCTAACCAATGGATAAGTTTCTTTATCCCCTAAGGTTATATCAATATATTAGTATCAATATATTACAATATTTAAAAAAAAAATTTATCTCTCAGATATTGGGGAAATAATAATGCTAATAATAGATCCAGGTTACCCTGGTTCTCACACAGAATTACTCATGTGGCATATCTCCTTATGCTTTCTCGTGCAGGACCTAAATGTTTTAAGTTAGTGCTGTGAGAAGATGCCTGTCTTTTTTAGGCAGTTTACCTCATGTGCATGTTTGGAAAATGCTTCCGCACTGGTCATCATGCCTGCAGTTTTCTCTTCCAGCTCTCCTAGCCTCTGTCCTCTCTCGTCAAGTGCGATCCGTGCACGGGTCAGCTCTCCCATCACCCCTCCAGCAGCACCTTTCATACCTTCTATACCACCTGGTCCGGGAATGTGCTGTGCAAGGCTTCGGGATGCTTTTCCTGCTGAAGCTTCCCCAACTGGGAATTCAAGCCATAGCAATTTAAAACATTTGTGAGTAATTCAAAGTTTGTCACCAAGACAAAGTACTTATATTAAATTGTACTGTCATAATTCTCATTAAAAGACAGACATATTTGGTCCTGTCATATATATGTGTTTGGAAATTTTAGCACTTACCCAAGAAAAATGCCTAAGAAAAAGATTTTGAGAGATACTGTTACTATATGCCTTTTTTGTGTATGTGTTCCATATAATATAGCATAATTACACTTCTTGGCTGAACTGGAATGCTCAAAACATATGTGACCTCATATTTAACCAACATTAGTGTCTGTTCCAATCTCAGGCATGATCATTTGCTTAAATTTTTGCCCACATCTTTTTCCAACTTTTTCTGTTCATGTTGATATATCAGCCTTTGTAGGCCTCAGGTTTTCTCTCTCTTTTGTACTTTTTCTCTGTGTAAATACTAGAGAATGAGATTCTTGAATATATGAATGATGGGCATTAATACACATATGTTGAAATTGTGTGACTTATAAATGCCTAAAAATTTCCCAGTCACTTCTAAAGCTCAGTTTCATTCAATTTCAATGAAGTAAAATTTATTTATTTAAAAATAGCTATCTTGGCAGAAATTTGGTGAGCATTCCCAAGGATATAACATTGAGATGGAATTAAGATTTTTTAAAAATTAGAGCCTTATTGAAATATAATTCACATACCATAAAATTTAGCCTTTTAAAGTATATAATTCACTGGTTTTCAGTGTATTCATCAAGTTTTGTAAGTATCACCACTCTCTGATTTTAGAACATGTTCATTACTCCAGAAAGAAACCCCACACCCATTAGTATTCATTGCCTATTCCCTCATTGCCCTAGGCCTGAACAACCACTGATCAACTTTCAGGCTCTATGGACTTGTCTATTCTGGACATTTTATCTAAATGGGATCATATAATATGTGGCCTTTTTTGTCTGGCTTTTTTCACTTAGCATTATGTTTTCAAGGTTCATCTGTGTTGTAGCATGTACTAGTACTCCATTCCTTTTTATGGCCAAATAATATTCCATTGTAGAAAAGCACCTAGATCTTTTTGCATAAAGAGTTCAAGAGAAAGAAAATTTTGATCTTTAAGACCAAATGGTGGTGGGATATTCTGGAAACTATATTCTAATGTTCTCTCCCTAGTATTTTCCTACTGCTTTTCAATTATTATTCATCAGAGTCTCACTAGTAGATTTTAAAAAGTAATTTATTCTCTAGCATTGATAAACTTTGCATTCTGAATAGGAAGTCTGTTTCTCAGTAATAATTAAAGTCAGGCAGATTAAAAACATTTTTTTTCCTTGGGCCAGCCCGGTGGCGCACTGGATAGTGCGCCGCTTGGGAAGCACGGAGGCGCTCCCGCCCGAGGGTTCGGATCCCACGTACGGACCGGTTCCCGCTCACTGGTTGAGCGAGGTGCGGGAGCAACGCCGAGGGTTGCGATCCGTTGCCGGACACGGAAAAAGACAAAAGACAAAAAAAATACAAAAAAACAAAAAAACCCCATTTTTTTCCAGACTTTAATAATTGAATACTTTCACCTTGCCACACAGATATGATCTATCAAATAAGACATTTAATAGCTTGCTTATAATTTATATGAATTCTGCATATCACTTTTGTTAAACAATTTCCTAATATGAAGTGACCAATTTTATTCATATTTGGTAAACAGAAATACTTTTCATAGTACAGAAGGAAACACATTCCAACTTTGAGAAGCAAAAAAACCTCATCTAGAATTTGAGATCACATATTACATTAAGTTACACACACACACACACTCAGAAGACTCAGGTCTTCTATTTTGTGATATATTTTTATAATTAGGAGTTTACTCACAGAGCTCTTCTCTGTCAAATGTTTGTCCACTTCCACCAAATAGTCCCTTGAGAAAACCTCTATTTTGAGCTTCTGGAGTCTCTATGGGAGTAAACAAATCTCCCAGCATGTCCTGTATCAAATTCAAAGAAGAAAGCATTAGAGTAACTAAAAATAAATGAATAGATAAAAAGGTAACACTGAGGTATGTAAGAGCACATCATGAAAAGACAGTCTGCTTTCCATTTGTTTTCTTGGTGATTTTTGCTTTGTTCATAGTTCTCTCTCTGATATTTCTTTCTCCATCTCCTTTTCCTTCCCTTCTCTAGTAACTGACATCCTAAAATTTTCCTTTTTCTGTCCTCTTCTCTTCTCCCCTCTACAAGTAGAAAACATGGGAAGCTAATATGTTCACCCTAGGATTAACTTCCACCTATGATCAATGACTACCAGTCTAGACTTCTGTTCCTTCTTCAATTACCACGCTCTCTTTCCTATCCTGGTTCCCTTCCCTGAACCAAGCATGGATTGTCCTGTGAAATAGGAAACCCTCAGTGGTATGTGGAAGAAGGTTGCATCTATTTTTATATCAAGTACAAAATTATGAAATGGTTCAAGATAATTTAAATGAGTCAAAATAGGCAGCTACTATCTGGTGAGGTACAATTGTTCTCAATATTTGGTGAGCCTTAGAATGAAGGAGGAAATACTTTTGTTAGAAATGTAGATATTCATCTGTATTATTTTGGCAACTTTTCTGGAAGTCCAAAATTATTTCAAAATAAAAATACTTAAAAATAGGAAAAAAAACTGCCCTAGAGAAATTATTGCACCAGAAGACATGTACAAGTATGTTCAGAGCAACACTTATTTCTAAAAGCAGAAAACTGGAAACACCGAAATGTCCACGAACAGAAGAATGAATAAGTGTATTGTGGTATATTCCTACCATGGAATACTTTACAGTAGTTAAAATACATGAACCAAAAGTACATATATCAACATGGACAGATCTCAAGAACAGATAATGAGTGAGTAGAGTAAGTTGCAGAAGGATAATTTACAGCATATAGCATTTTGTGAGGTTTAAAAACATGCAAAACAATATTACATATTATATGGGCATATTAATATGAAGTTAAAGAATAAATAAAGGCATGGGAATGAAAACCACTAAATTCAGAATAGTCATTACCTTGGGAAGGAGGCAGGAGAATAAGATCAGGGTGTGGTGGATGGGGGATTTCAACTGCATTTGTACTGTTTAATTACTTAAGCTGAGCAGTGGGTACGTAAACATTGGTTGCATTACATTTTATTTTTTTCTCATTTGTATGTCTGATGTATTTCACAATAAAAAATTAATTCAATTGTTAAAAAAAAGAAATGCAGATATTCAGGCTGTATTCCATATATACTAAATCAGAATCTATATAGATGTTCTCTGGTCTTCTGTACTTTTTGGCAGACCTTGTTCTTCTGGCCTTTCTAAAGCAGACCAAAGTTTAAGGATCATCAGTGTAGGGGAAGGAACTCAGACAAAAAGTCAGGAGATCTGTGACCTAGTATTAGTTTGTCTATGAACTTCCAATATGATTTTAAGTCTCCTCTCACACTTCTACTCACCAGACTTGTAATGTTCCTCCTGAAACCCTTCTCTTTGGAAATGGCAGCACCTCTATTTAGTTCTCCAAGCCACAAACCCAGTAATAATTAATTCCTTTTTTAACTTCATTCCTATATCTAATAACCATCAAATCCAACTGATTTTATAGCTATTGAATCTGCTGACTCTTCTCCATCCTCACTTCTGGCTCAATTATTCCAAGCCACTGTTGTTTTTGGACTTAATTATTTTAAAAACCTCCTAATTGTTCTCCCTACCTTCAGTTTTGCTTCCTCAAAACCAACTGCCATATTGCAACCAGAATATTTGTTTTAATAAACAAATCTGCTAAAACTTTCCATGACTTCCTACTGCCCTTGGGATAAATGCTGGATTCCTAAGGAGCTTACAAGGTGTCCCAAGATCTAGTCTTGACTAATTCTCCAGCACCATTCTTCCTCTCTTCTCACTTCCTGACTTTGCTCTTTCTTGGCAGTTTCCCGAACCGCAAAGTTTTCACATGCCACTACTTCTGTCTAGAATATCGTTACCTATTCCATCCCCAGCCACCCATTCACCTGGATACCTCCTTCTTGCCCTTTAGAGGCCAGTTATGCCCCCATCCTTCTCTAACTACCCTCTCCCTCCTGCCCTTCTTATATGTGTCCCCAGCACTGGCACAGCCATTTTTATAGCATTTTCCACAGAGTGTGTGGTTGTCTGTTAGTTTATCTCTCTTTCCACACTTACAGGCAGGAACTTGTATCTTGTTTCTTATAGTATTCTTAGAGCCTCGCCAAGTACCAGGCATATATTAAAAACTCAATAAATATTTGTGGAATAACAATAATAATGATAATACTTATTATCATTTATTTTAAAAACTTACTATGTTCCAGTCACTGTGCTCAGTGCTTTATATAAATTCTTAAGTCTGTCAACAATGTTCCAAGGTAGAACATACAGATACGTTAAGTAAAATGCCCAAAGTCATACAAATGGGGGAATCAAAATACAACTCAAATAGTTCAGAGCTTACAGTCTTAACCTCTATAGTATAATGAGTTTTAATTTTCTTATTTGAAAAATGAGGGAGTTGAATCAGTTAAATCTCTTTTAGAATTTAAAAATTAGAAAATTTAAATTAAATGTTAAAATTTATTATTTATGCTCTAACCAACTGAGCTAACAAGCCAGCCAAATTAAAAAATATAAAAGACTCTTAAAATTTTGTGATCATTCTTACTTTCCCAAGGTTAGATAGGCTTTTATAATTATCATGTTTCTTGGCTATGTTTACTGCTATGACCAAAGACAAATGCCCAATCCCACAAGATATATATTTATTTTTTTGCGGCCCTTAATCAAAATTAATGTTTATTCAAAAGAGTCCATGAATTCCCTGAACTGTATGCAAAATTTCTGTATGTACATATATATTCCCCACCCTGGGAGGAGGGTTTATAATATTTCAGAAGATTCTCCATGGGCAAAAACAAACAATAAAATAAACAAACAAAAAGATTAACCTTTACTATGAATAATCCTCACATTCCCTCCCTCTTTCTTTCTTATTAGTTGTGTGCATACTTAGAACCATACTAAAAGCTGGTAGGATCACAGTGAAGAATATATATTCAAAATATGCTCTAGGAAAGGCATATTTATAGTCTGACCCAATAATATTTTAGATTTTAGACATCTCTCTCTTTTAACAACCATGTCCCATTTTTTTTCCCATAAATGTACCTCCTGACCTACCTGTAGATTATCACACATTTCTTGGCTGTATGTTAATCGCTGAATTTCAGTAGGAGAGACAAGGTATAATGCCTGTCCTTCATTGGTAAAACAAAATGTCCGTGCTATCCTCATGTCTGTCAGTGGCAAATAATTAACATCCAACATTGGGCGAAGACTAGGTAGGCTGAATGGAAAAAAGTAAACCCACGTTTTATATTCAAGTTTTAGAAGCAAATCCTTACATAAAAACAGTAATTTTTATTTCATTATTTTATGGTTGTTTCTTTTTATTCTCTTGAAGCCTCAGTGGTAATAAACTAGACTTTCACATAAAATAAGTTCTTCTATCTTAATCCACCAGAGGTTTAGCAAATGTCCTGGAAGGATTAAACATAGTGGCCAGCAATCTCAGGGGTACTTTTTGCAGTGTTTCACAGGTTCCTACAATATGATAAAGCTTTTGGTTATGTCAGAAGCATGACAGCTAGAAAGTGTCTGACTGTGTTCTTGGTCTATTGTCTCTCATTAAGGCAAAACTCCAGAGTCTGAGGAGGTTGTGCACTGACGGAGAAGAGGAGTGGGTCCAGTTCACTGTGCCCAGGAATGGAGTGGCTTTGCTCTCTGTTTCTTTACTCTCTCTAAACACAGGAAATAAAAATTAACTATAACTTAGAGCATATGCACTGAAGACATGATTAATAAATAAACATGGCCAAGGTTGTAAGGGAATGAGAATAAGTTATAAATAATAGATCATAATTTGACATCCAAATGAATACTACATATCCGAATTGTCTTAGCCCATGGCTATATACTTATCGTAATGTTGCACTAATATTTTTGCTAAAATATTCATCAGAATGTTTCTTTGGATATTGCTTTTAGAGCCAGTTTTACAAATCTCTGAAGAAAACCAGCCTTACTGCTTTTTAATCTTACCTCTAATGCCAAAAGGAAAAAGGAAAAAAAAAAAACCACTTGTATTTAAATCTCAAGTTTGAAACTATTCTACTGATTCTAAGTGTGCACAATGATTTTAAATTATCCCAGATTATAAAACTAGCATCTTCGGGGGGTGAAGGGTGGGGTGGAAGTACTGATTTCTCTTAACAAAGTGGTTTGTAACTACATTTTGAGCCCTAGAACTTTACTATATAAAATGGGACCTGAAATCTATGCTACTGGAATAAGCTTTTCATGAGGTTCTAGCACTATGCTGCCCAATAAGGTAGCCACTAACCACACATGGCTATTGAGCAGTTGATAAGAGGTTAGTCCAAATTGAGACGTGTGTCAACTACACACTGGATTCCAAAGCCTCTGTATGAATAAAGAATTATCTAATATCTAAAAATGATAATAAAGAATTACCTGTTATAGCACTTCAGGTAACTAAGTTCCTTAAGATATGAGTCCAAAACAAACCCAGTTGAACAGACATCTGTGATAGATTCTGTCAGATTAATGGGTTGGGTTGAGGAAGAGGTCCCAACTGACTTTTCTGATGGGCTACATTGTCTATGTCATGTAATAAAAGTAAGCCAAGAAAAGAAAATAAAAAAGGTGTAATCACTTCGGGCAGGAAAAGGGAAAGAGCAAGTCGATTGCTAAGGGCTTGGTAACAAGTGCTCTTAAAACTGGAAAAAAAAAGCATTTTCTTCTATTCAGGGACACTTATAAAGAAATAGAGTCAGGTAACTAAAGATGGTTCTCACTAAAAGTGGCTCTTACAAGCCCAGTTTGAGAATTCATACATAGATAAGCCTCAAACTTGCTTTTCTAGGTCTGAGGACATTAGGACCTAAGCAATTGTCAACTATCTGCTATCTATCAGAAAACTAGTACTTGAGGAAATTGGGCGCAGGACAGTTCCATTCTGATAGAGTCTGGAAAGATCCTGGGAATATACTTAGTATGGGAAAATAAACAAAGCCAGGAGCATGCCAATTTGTAGTCCTTCAAGCCACACAGCACAGTACATATTATTTCCTAGCCATACTTTATATATTACTAACATCCTGTGGAAATCATTTCCTTTTCAAATATTTTTGAGGATTCTCTGAAACACATGAAGAGTTTCCAGTATAACACAATATCAAAGTAGCCATTATCATGTAAAACAGCTTTTACAAAGGACAGATATCTTTTATCAATGACTGCTTTTGTCTTTGAAACTCTCTTGTTTTTCATTTCTCAAAAACTCTCTAAAAATGTAGATAGTAGCATGTATTCTTTTAAATAGAAGTTAATTTTGAGATATATATAATATCAATTGAGAAATACAGAAACACTAAAATTTTGCAAAAACATGGTAAAATTCCAATTGTGACATAATAATAGTTTAATGTAAGACAAATTTCGAGTGACTAAATGCTAGCTTAGGGGAGGAGAAGGAGTATGTATGAAATATACACACACACACATTTTTTTTTCATAACAGAGACATGTCTAGGAATTCAATCACCATTTAAAAAAAAAAAACCCTGGAATGACCCTCATTGGAAATCTCTAAAAATAGTTTGAGAAAGAGAAAACCAGATAAAGAAGAATCAGAAATATATGAGATTGAGCAGACCATAAAATGATTGTTTTTATTTTTTTAAAATTTTCTTCTTCACTACTTCCCTTTGGCTTACAAATCTGTTCATGTCTCTCCTATTAAAAAAAGATAATAAAAATAAAACACTCTCAAAATAGAGTTTCATTCTTGAACTTTCCTGTTTTTCACCTTTTCCTTTACCACAAAATTTCCTGGAAAGAATAATCTATACCAAGGGTTAAGGGCCAGATAGTAAATATTTCAGGCTTTACAGGCCACCTAGTTTCCCTTGCAACTACAAAACTATGCCCTGTAGTGCAAAAGCAGCCACAGTCAATATATAAACAAATGGGTGTGGCTGTGTTCCCAAAATACTTTATTTACAGATCTTGAAATGTAAATTTTATATAATTTTCACATATCATGAAGTAGTCTTCTTTTCTTTTATTTTTTCAACTATTTAAAAATGTAAAAATCATTGTTATTTTGCAGGCTATACAAATCCGATTTGGTCAGTGGGTTATAGTTTGCCAGTCCCTGATCTGTACCACTGTTCTATTCTTGCCCCCTTTAAAATTAGCTTTTGCTTCCACCACACTCCTAAGATTTGCTTTCTCAAAGATCATTATTTTCTTATATCCAAATTCTTTGACCTCTCTGCTATATTTGATTAGCTCTTGACCACCTTGCTTTGTTTTGATACTCTTCTTTCCTTTTTATTTCATGAGGTTATACCATCCTGGTCCTTGTCCTATCTCTCTAATGGATTCTCATTCTCTTTTGCTGTATCTTCTTTCTTCTACCACATAAATGTAGAGATACTCCCAAGTTTCTATCCTCAGCCTAATCTATTTCTCATTTCTTTTTATACTACCTTTTTTGATGATCTCATTCACTGTTCTAAGATTTACTAATGCGTTTACATAAATGACTTCCAAAGCTCGATCTTCTACCCATATTTTTCTAAGAACCCAGACCTTAAATTGCTTGTTAACTTCTGTGGGATGGCTTATAAGCACCTTGAACTTCAAATATTCATTCTCAATTCTTTCTCAGACTTCTCATTATCAGCTTTTCCAAATCCTCCTGAATTTCTTATATCGTAATGGCATCACTATTATCAAAGTTAAAAAAATTTTTTTTTACCTTTAAATTCTCTTCTAACCTCAAGATTTAACAACCTCCATTACCTTTGACAAACCATCAGCTTTGCATCCAGCAAGTTTCCCTCCGTTATCCCTCACACCTGTTCCCTCCTCACTTTCTATACAACTACCACCGCAGTTCAAAGGCCCACCCCAAGCTCTCCCTCCATGGGTATTTCCTAATGCATAGCTAGAGAAGGTTTATTACTCACTTTAAAGCCCCATTTCCTATTAATTGAATAATGTCAAACTCAGCCTGACATTCAAGGTCCTCAACAATTTGCCCCAACCTCCCTCACCAGGTTGCTTTCCTCCTAACAACTCTATTCTTTTATAATACATACTTAATTATCCTATGACTTTGAACTCTGGAGACTTAGTTTGGGACTAGAAAATTCAATCCCATATTTCTTGTTAGAATTTACATTATCTTTGTCTTATAATTACTTGTATACTTGTCTTATCTCCCCAATTAGATAGTAAGCTTACATGTTAGGACCCTGTTTTACTAATTATTTATCCTCCACAGGCATAGTACAATGCTTAAATCAATGATTTTGGGAAGTAGGTGAGATATTAAAAAAAATAAGAGTGACTTCTACATAGTATGTGTTTATTAACTGCCGAATTCATGTGATCATTTTGTAATTATTATGTCTCTCAAATTTTATTTCATTTTACTAATAGTAGAATAAAATCATTCAACTGATACCTTATTTTTAAAGTGTCTGATGTCTTTTAGTATACTGTTCTGTATTGGCCTCACTTTTTCCTAGACTTGCAACCTCAGACAAATTACTTGACTTTAATTTATTAACATATGCAAAATGGAGGAAGCAAATAATATTTTATTTTCCTGTGTCCTAGAGAAGCTATAAGGGTCAAATGAAATTCTGAATGTAAAATTCTTATGTGAATTATGAAACATAGTAAGAGTAACAGTTAACTTCTTTTTCCTTGTAGCTTGTCCACCTTTTATTTTCAGTGCATTGCATAGTTTGGGAGATAAGATATGCTCAATAAATGTTTGTTGAATGAATGTATGAATGACTGCAAAATCACTCTTTCCTTAGGTCCCTTCATGTCAGTTAAAATATGTATTTCATTTACAATGCCAAGCATTTTAAGCAACACACACACACAAACAAAACAAAAACCCCAAACACTCATCAAATTTTTGAACAATAAAATATCCTCAAATACAATGTTTCAAACATAATGAAACAATGATCTCAGGATTTGTCTTGATAAAATCTTGTACATTATATATATACTTTTCAGAATTGTACCTTGCTGACATTGTTGTGATTACCAGATAATTTATAAAGGCAAGTACCTCATTATCATGATATGCCCATTAGCACAAAAGCATGCCAAGCAGGCACTGTTACACATGACCACCACATCTGCTTGCAGTATAAAAGATGTCTCGGTGATGTTATGAACATAAAGGCAAGTCTGAGAAGGCAGCGAGAAGACTTTGGCTTGTTTTTCTGAGCAGATTATTGTATACTGATGATCTCCTATTTCTTGGGATGCAGAGGAGGAGTTCATGACCAGTTTCCTTCTCCAATATTTTTCATTTTCATCTATGTTGTTTGGATCCCTCCAAACTTCATATGGCGGTTGTATTAATCCGCCAGTTCGGTCCATACAGGAGAACGTTAGTACAGCTCCTTTCAATGAGAGGAATGTACCTATAAAAACAATTTCACATCACTGGCATGTGAAATATTTTCCAAAACAGCTGTTATTCATCTATGGGCAACAAATATTTTACATTATGATAATTTATATCTATAGAGTCATAATATTGCACTTATTGCAAAATTTATGCATAAATCAGTAGATTTGTGAGTTCATGTGTTGCAATAACTTGGAATCATAGAATACTAGGTTTAATAGGAGCCCAAGACATTAACCTGTAAAATCCTCTCCTTATATTAATGAGAAAACAGCCTTGGAAAGATGATGAGACCCAGGTCACATAGCAAGTTAGTGGCTGAGCCAGATTTCCTGATTTCTAATGCAGGATTCTTTCATTATACTATACAGTCCCCTTCAAAAATCCTTTTTTAAAAAGCAAATTTAAGAAAAAGTATAACTCTCATTTATCAAAATAACTTCAAATGAAGATATAATTACATCATCTGATTCCTTTTTTTGTTTCATGTCTAGCTCATTTTCTAGAAAATGCCTTTTTTCTTCTGAAATTGAACACTCAGAATAAATTTCATCAAGTTTCAATACCTAGAGTTCATGCTAGTAATTTTAATTATATGAAAAAGACAAAAACAACTACCTTCAGCTCTCAGGCAGGCTTACGCATCTTTATAGAGAAAAGGAATTTACTCACCTGGATTCTTCAAGGTTGAATATCCATGCCAAATCATTACCTATGGGTGATTTTTACAAGGCTTGGAGGACAACTTAGGAGGCAACTTGGGCTATATTGACCTTTGGACATTTCCAGACTCTCCCCTAAGCAGTGTCTTCCTAGCTCTTTCTTTCTTTTGTCCTTTGACATCATGTAGAGAGAGTAAGGGTGTTAACCCAGGCTGATATGCCTCAAGAATATACATGTAACAGAGACTTGGCAAGGGAAGGTGAAAGATAAAAATACATTCCATTTAGAAAGTACTAATTTAAAGTACTTAAAATCTATCAAATTCAAAATGACATATTTAGATCACCTAATATCTCAGTTGTGTTTTTAAATCCTCTTTTAAACTAAGAAACCTGTAAATATTCTATAAGGGTAACTGAAGAGGATAGGGTAATAGAGATTTGGGTGCTTCAGTCTAAGGGTCAATATATGAAAGAACAGGTCTCCCAATCTACCATGAAGAAAAACAAATGCCAAAAGCTATGAAGAACGATTCGATTAGAATTTGTCTAAGATTGGTCTTGCTATTCTGTAAAACCACATTTTCATAAATAACTGTCATGGAAAGACTTTTCTAAGAATAAATATCTTTGCATCCTCAATTTAGAGATGGCCTAAAGTATGTTAAAAGGACATGAAATCCAAATTTTGGAAGCCATTTTACTTATATCTGATGCTTACTATCAGCATCACAGTGACAGTTTCTCAATAAGCCATCCTTATCAAAACAGCTGCTCTGTTTCCTAATTTGTAGTCAAAAATGCTTTGGTTATATTCTGTTCATTAGGTTAATACAGGGTTAAATTTTCCCAAGAATGTTTTATTGATCTTTATGACTATGCCTTTAATCTTCCATAACTGAAAAAAACAAGTACCGAGCAAAAACAAAAACCTCAAGTAAATCCAAATTATAAGCCACTACTATCTCAGAATATACATTATAACAAAGTAAGCTTAAATTTAGGGGCTTCTATAATAGGATCTTAACAATTCAGTCAACAGTAAATAATTCATCACATGATTAATTAGAACTTTCCTCTTAAAGGTCGTACTTGCTAGGAGTGTACTTTACTCCAGCTTTCCAATAATCAGCCTTCCCCACTACAATCTTTAGTCATTCAATCAACAAACAGTTATTGAGGACTTACTATGTATTCTACATCCTGTTTTCGGCACAGGGAATATAGCAATGAATAAAACAAACAAAAGTCCCTGCTTTCACAGGATTTTACTTCCTATGATAGAGACAGACTATATATGATAAATAAGTAAACACTTGGGATTTTTAGATAATAAGTACTAAGGAAAAGATTAAAGCAGAAAAGGGGATAGGAACTCTTGAGAAAAGGCCGTTAAATTTTAAATAGAGCAGGAGGTATTATGGACTAAAAGTTTGTATCCCCCCTGAAATTCATATGTTGAAGCCCTAACTTCCAGTGTGGATACATTTGGATATGGAGCCTCTAAGGAAATAATTAAGGTTAAATGAAGTCATAAGTGTGGGGCTCTGATTAGATAGGATTAGTGTCCTTATAAGAAGAGACATGGAAGTTCCCTCTCTCTCCTCATGTGAACACAGAAGAAAGGCCATGTAAGCACATAATGAGGAGGCAACCATTTGCAACCCAAGGGGAATGACCCCACCAGATACCAACCTTGCTGGCACCTTTTCAGTTTCCAAAACCTTGAGAAAATGAATTTCTATTGTTTAAGCCACCCATTCTGTGGTATTTTATTATGGCAGCCCAAGCACACTAATACAGAAGGGATGGCTTCTTTGCATCATCCTGTGGCAATTAGGGCTCGGGAAATCAGCACAAAATATTGATATACTGTGATTGCTGTGAGTAATGAATTATCCTTCATCTCTGATCCAGGAGTCTTATGTCTTCTACCAGCATTTGTGAAACTGACAACTTTATTAACTTGCAAGTATAGTAAAATTTCAGATCTTGTCTCTCTAGAACAGCAAAGAGAAGACTTATAGGAGATGAGATCAGAGAGATCAAGTGGAGCCAGATCATGTAGGTTCTTAACAGTACACAGTAAAGACTTAAATTTTTACTTGGCATAAGATGGGAAGATTTTGAGAATAGAAGTGATATCAATGTCTCAGGTCAAGTCAGCCTATAGCAGGGATTAATTCTGATGTTTTCTGATTAATTTTCTGTCTGGATGATCTCCTTTGCTGAAAGTGGGGTATTAAGGTTCCCAAAACTATTTCTGTTTTTGGTCCTAAGTGTTTAGTTTTGTTAAAAAATGAGCTAAAGACTTGAATAGACATTTCTCCAAAGAAGATAAACAAATGGCCAACAGGTATATGCAAAGATGCTGAACATCACTAATCATCAGGGAAATACAAATCAAAACCACAATGAGATATTATGAAAAAAAAAAAAAAAACACAAGAAGTGTTGGTGGGATGTGAAGAAACTGGAAAACTTGTACACTCTTGGTGAGAATGCAAAATGATGCAACTGCTATGGAAAACAGTACGGATGTTCCTCATAAAATTAAAATAGAGCTACCATATCATCCAGCAATTTCACTTCTGGATAGGTATCCCAAGATCAGGATCTTGAAGAGATATATACTCCTATGTTTACTGTAACACTTCATAACAGCAAAGATGTGGAAACAACCTAATGTCCGTCAATAGATGAATGGGTTAAAAAATGTATATACAGATAATGGAATATTTTTCAGTCTTAAAAAAGAAGAAAATCCTGCAATATGCAACAACATGGATGAACCCTGAGGATATGTTTAGTGAAAAAAGCCAGTCACAGAAGGACAAATGCTGCATGATTCTACTTATATAAGACATTTAAAATAGTCAGACTCATAGAAACAAATAATAAAATGGTGGTTGCAGTGGCTAGCAGGAGTGGAAGATGGGGAGTTGTTAATTAGTATAAAATTTCAATTATGAAAGATGAATAAGTTTTATAGGTCTGCTGTACAACATTGCACCTAAAAATAAATAACAACACTGTATTGCACACTCAAAAATCTGTTAAGAGGATAGATCTCATGTTAAATGTTCTCATCACAATAAAATTTTTAAAAAAGAGAGAAAGAGAAGTGGAATTAACACTTACTGAGCATGCTTTATGTGCTCAGTGCTTTACATAAATTATCTCATGCAATCCTCCCAACAACCACTTGGGGGAAACTGTCTTGCATTTTTCATGATGCTGATGTTCACCGAACTCAAGTAACTGTCTCAAGTCACCAAAGCAAAAATTGGCAGAGCTGTAATCTAATACTTATGTATTTTTTATTTTTGTTTTTAAAACTACACCTTATGGCCTCCCAAGAAATAAGATTAAACTGCAAAGTAAATAATTCTAATACTGTTTTTCTTTTGATTTTTATCTGATCCTATTTATGGAGAAAATACAAGGATATTTTCTGAATGGCTAAAAGTTCAGCAGAAAAAATTCAAGGTATGTATCATACCCATCTATAAGACTATGATTTTGGAGATTCAGCCTTAGTTAAAAGTCATAATCTTTAACCTTTTATTTGTTTGAAAAGAAATTTTCATTTTTAATTTATATTTCTTTTTTTTTTTTTTTGTCCTTTTTTGAGACCAGCCGCACCACGCTCAGCCAGTGAGCGCTGTGAGCGCACCAGTCATCCCTATATAGGATCCGAACCTGCAGTGGGAGCACCGCGCAGTGCCGCACTCTCCCGAGTGTGCCACGGGCTCGGCCCTTTAATTTATATTTCTAAGATTACTTGTTTCATTTCAGGCTTTTCCTGTGTGATAGAAAGGTTTTGTTTTGTTTTGTGTTTGGCTTACTCTGAAAAAAAAAAAGAGATGTGAAACTGCCAATACCTCATGACTATACTCCCAAGTAAGGATGTGTATATTTGACAGTCTTTCAATGTTTGTCAGTCATACATTTACAAGATTACCTACTATTCCTACTATACTAAGAAAAGAACTATATATTTAGTTCATTGTATTTTCACAGAGAATGATAATACATTTTTCATCTGTCCATATGGGGTGGGGGGTGGCTGGTTAGCTCAGTTGGTTAGAGCATAGTGTTATAACATCAAGGTCAAGGGTTCAGATCCCCATACTGGCCAGCTGCCAACCCCCCCAGCCCCCACAAAAAGAAGGGATCCTATTCTGGCAAAAGTCTGAATTTATGTCAATAACGTATGACAAAAGGATAAGTAAAATTTCATTTATTTTTGGTAGTACCTGGAGAGAACTTTATTTTTCTTCAGTGAATTAAAAATACCTAAAAATCTTAATAGCTTCCTATATATGTTAGCCTGGTTATTAAGGGCTTA